ACAATAAATATGAAGAGTTTGGTTCCAAAACGCGATAAACGCCATTTTAAAAAAAAATTTAGTTCCCGCCAAAATCAGTATTGTATCTGGACGGTATTGAAAAGAACATTTTTTATTTTACGCAAAATGCGATATCCGTCATGTTATTCTATCATGTTTTATCCCTTTCTTCCAAACCGCGACAAACGCCAGTCTCCCTTCTCTGCAGAATGCGATACATCCGCTCAACCAATCACAGCGCACCATTCCACGCATTGTAAACAGTAACTGACAATCTACGCAATATCGTGTTCATAATCACAGATGAATCACCTTTGATTATGAACGTGATATTGCGTAGCTTGTCAGTGATCTACGACTCTGTGTATTAAATGCCATCTGAAAGCACGTGATGGGGGTTTACTACTAATCACAGAACCGGCTTTATTGACGAGATGCGCATGACAATCGCATGTGATTTATCGTGCAGCCTAAAAAAAATATTTTTGACGGCATTAATGAACCTGTGGTGGTTTCTGGGGTGGGGAAGAAACGTAAGCTATTAATAAGATTAGTATTGACCAAGTTCAGAGGCTGTCATATGTGGATCAACTTACTATGTTGTGTATTTTCAACAGTTTCAATATGAAAAATAACTTTTATATTGATTCAATGGATTTATTGCATTTTGGGAAAAAATAATCAGTTTTTATAATAAATCTTTGAAAATCAAAATCTGGATTTGAATTTTTTATGTTATTATAACCTAAAGATGCTATGTGAAAGTTTGAAACAGAAAATAGTGGTTTTCATTTTGCCACTTTCTTGGTAAAGGAAACACATTTTTACTCAAATTAAACAAAATGGATTTATAGCGTTTTGGAACCAAACTCTTCATATAATAGTAAATAATATTAGTAATAGTATATAAAATATGCTATTGATATATACTAAATAATGATAAAAAATAAAAGCAAATAAAAATTTTTTTTTTTTTTAATTATTAATTAATTATTTTAATTAATTTTTACAATAAATTTAATATAAATGTTAACAATATTTAATATAAATAATTAAAGGGGTCATATGATGCGATTTAAAGTTTTCCTTTCTCTTTGGAGTATTACAAGCTGTTCATGAATATATAAGATCCCTAAAGTCACATGTCCACATGTCTATGTCACGATGTGGGAATACTGATGATTCAAACGCGAGTTTTGAGCAGTGTAGGGTAGCGCTTGTTGTTTGTCATTTCTCCGATCACAAATGCAGACATGGTTTTATGTTTACGCGGCGTGATGCAACGCAACTCGTAAAAAGAGTGTATAAGTCATTATAATCCAGTGGTTCTCAAAGATACAATTTTGAAAAAGCTAGAAAAATGCAGGTAACTGGGTTGAAATTTAGCCCTAAATTTGGGTACCATTTAAAGTCAGTTTACCAAGGTGTCACAATTTTAAGGACTGTTACAATGAGTAAGATTAGCAAATCATAAATAATATTAAATAATCCAAAAATTATTTTGACAATGAATTTAATATTCAATAAACATTAAAAATCTAATGTATTTGGCAAAATGTCTTTACATAAAATTATAAAAATAGATAAATATATAGATAAACAGATACCATTTTGAAAATGCCAGAAAAATGTTGGTAACTCGGTTGAAATTTAGCCCTAAATTTGGGTAAAATTTAAAGTCAGTTTATCAAGGTGTCACAATTTTAAGGACTGTTAGAATGAGTAAAATGAGTAATATATAATATATATAGTTTGATAAATAAATTATAATAAATAATAATTATACTAATAATTATAAATAATAATAGTAACATTATATAAAACTATACTATTACTATATACTAAATAATAACAAACAATAAATAAAAGTAAATAATTAAAATATTTTGACAATGAATTTAATATAAATTCAACAGATTGTGTCAAAATGAAAACATTTTTGCATATTTGAAGGTTTAAACACAGTTGAAGATGTCAAGACCTCTGACAGGCCAAAATCCACATTTTAAGAGGGAGGATACGGACATTAGACTAGTTACTTTCTATGCTAAGATATTTTTCAGATTTATCAAACATATTTAGGATACAATAAGTTACATCTTAGTATACTGTATGAATGGAAAGCGTCAGAACCTGGCATGGTGGTGCATGTACTGTAGGGCATGCCCTCGGACGTAACCCTTTAACACTTCAACCGCAGCACAAACGTCTGCTCCAACCTCTCCAGCCTGCCTCCAAAGGCCTGCAGTCAATATTTCTGTTTTCTTTCTGCATTTTTGTTTTATTTAGGACTCCGCCAGTGTCCTCCCTCCACCCCAGTGCTCATGCTATTTTGGAGAGCAGTGGCTTGGAGAGCAGTCAAATTTGATTAATTTTGGGATTTGGGTACAGTATGTTCCTGGACACACATCTGCGAGCAATCATAAATGCTCCAGAATGCTGGCAGAACATCCAGACCTGCCGACAGCTGATGATGTCATCAGTGCGAGGGAAGAGCTGGCGTGTCGCCAGGTTCCGAGCGCAGGGCTTCTCCCAGACAGAGAGAGAAAGACAGAGAAAAAAAGAGAAAGAGACATTAAGAGAAAACATCTTGACAGGGCTTTTCAGCCCGAATGCCGCGCATGATGAAGATTCGCGCTCGTTTCTGCTTCGTGTCGTGCGTGAACAGGTGCGATGGCGGATTACGAGCAGATTAAATGTGGGAGTAACTGAATATTGTTGCCAGTGTTTATGATATTGATTTATACCAGATTAGGAGGGTTGGGTTTAGGGAAAAATAATAAATCTCTTCCTCTCGCTTTCATAAACACACAAAAAAGAAGCAGACAGAGAACAAGAGATAAAAGAAAGAGGACTTTTCAGTTCATTTGGCAAAGAGAGCTGTCAGAATCTTGACAAAAACGTGTGCTGATAAAGTCAAGTGAGGTGGGCTTCACAAACCCACCAGAGAGACGACTACAGACTTAATCAGACAGATGGACACACTCTCACACATACACACACACACACACACACACACTGCCTGCTGCCAGTGTATTTCCCCTCCACTTGAAACAGGACATTCCCCACTAAAGCACAATTTAGTGTGGGCAACTACTGAATTCAATAAGCATCAATCACAGCATCCCTGATACTGAGGCGAGAGCCTTGACCTGAAAAAGTAGGTTTGAATCCTGCCTGCAACATGTTGCAATGCCATTTCTCCATGTTTCCCAAATAATGTGCCTTCTCTGCTATCATAAAAGGGACAAAATGCTTCCTAGTATTTTAAATCATCGATCCAATAGTAACAGGCCGATATATATTGTACTGTACAGGCTGATTTTTTTACTGATATTTTAATAATTTTCTCCTTTTTTGAGTAAATATTTTGTTAAATAAGTGTTTTTGTGGCATATTTATGTGCATATAATTTGCTATAACTAAGCTGTATTAGTCCGTGTGGTAAATATTTTCAAAATATATACTGTATGTGTGTGTATTTATATTTACATAATAAATATACACAGTACACACATATACTATGTGAACAAAAACTTTTATTTTGGATGCGATTAATCGTTTGACAGCACTAATATATATATATATATATCATTCTTTTTTAAATAATTTTTATTTTTACAAAAGATAGGGCATAACATAACTACCTATCTAACTAAATAAATTAATACATATTTTATATGTGGTTTTATTATAAAAAAAAGAAACAATTAAGTTTTTTTTCATAATTGGTTTTACATGTGATTATATGAAGTATGGGTGTGAGGTAGTACTGTGTGTGTAAATCTCTATTATATATCTGTATCTAAATACATATGTAACGAAAAGTGAAGAAAGAAGAGATACACATTTTAAAATGATAACAACATTTGTAATTTAAAAATAATAATAATAATTAAATGTGTAATTAAAATCTAATTTTATTAAATAGCAGAATTTTCACTAGTGGCATTTTTATGGAAAACCCATGTCGGTCAACCAAATAATAGACTCTGTAAAGCAAAGACTGAAAGGGAAAGATCTTAAAAAGGAGCTACAATAAAAAAAACAGGATGACAGCTGGACAGCATAAGCCCAAAACACAGAGTCTCAGCACTAAACTTCATTTTGCAGTCTACATCTGGTTTATTTTATGTCTACGGTTATGCAACAGACCCTTTTGATAACTAAAATCTGATGGCAAAAGTTCGAAGTTAATAGCACACATCGGCACGAAACAATACCACACACTTACATAACATGCAACAGCATCATTTCAGCATGATCGTTTAATTATGGGTTTGAATGTATATAAACAACTGGATCCATCCCCTCCCTTAAGCATGTTTCTGTCCTACACCTACTCATTACAATGAGAAAAAAAAACAAGCTGGCAAGATTCACTGTACATACTGTACTAACAATGTGGCAAAGTGCCCAGACTGGATCTCTGCCAGGCTTGAAATGTAACAGTTGAGACACATATGAGACTGGAGAGGGAAGTGTGAAGACGGGGATAACCAAACACTGCGTCACTAATAGAAGTGCAATGTTCCATCTGTTACAGCAGGTTAAGCTTGCGGTACATGGTGGACAAACACGGGGCAACAGGGGTCTGACACTTGTTGCACAACAGCGATCACGTATCACTTGTGCAATGGCACTGTAATCTATGCTTTCTTCCTTATCGGGACTACATTCGTGTGTGATCATGGTATTTACGGGAGGGTTTACCTGAATGAGACAGCATGTGCATCCTCAATCGTAAACTGTCCAGGAACTGCTTTCCACAGAACTCACAGCCAAAGGTCTTCACTCCACCATGCAACTTCCTGTGGATTAAACATACATTGATAGATTAAACCAGTGTAACTTTACACAGTAACTACACACTTTGAGAAGGTCAGATCTGGTCATTTTCTTGACCCTGATTTCAAGTTTAACAGGTAATATGTGCTTTCCGGTGAGAAAATGGCATCAGTGATTTCACTAAATGAGTTGATAAATTATATATATAATCTATAGCCAAGTACATTCATATTCACTCATATTCATAAAATATATTTGCTTAAAAGATGTCATTTCTGCACCACCAGACTCACCAAAGAGAATAATGAATATAATGATTGTTTTCAAACAGATTTCTAACACTCTCCTAATCTGCCATTGGTTAAACAAACAAATAGCCACACCCCCAAACTCACACTATTGGTTGAAATGTTATGTCAGGCTGTTCAGAATGCTCAAGAGTGCCACGAAGATAAAACTTTGATAACTGCCTTAATCTTTTAAACAACTGAGAAGATCAAACCATATTTTATATAAAAAAATAAACACCTATCAAGTTGTTTGATATCCTTTCACTTATCAAATCTATTTATCAGCATATGAGAGTGTATTGTGCGTGTTATTTTTTGACAGACATCAGTGTTGTGATGTTCAAATGTGGATGTGGATCTGAAAACAGATCGTAAGGTAATAATTATATATTTCTTTGCCCAGCAAGAATTCAGTGAAGTGACTGATGCCCACGAGTGTGTTAAATTAATGTTTTTACTTCTAATATTCCAAAAGAAAAGTTTTTGATGAACATGATAACGTGCTTGAGGAGTGAACTATGTTTGACTTTTGGGTATTATAAAACATGCTGGAGAATTTCAAAACACTTTTTGTGTAGTTCATTATACTTATTTTACAGAATGATGTTTAATTCATGGCTTATATTACTGAAATTTTAGTTACTGCGATAAATAAATGAATAATGAATAAATAAATAATAACTTCATATATATTGAGTGACCTACAGGAAAAAAAAAATTTCTTTCATCATTTGATATGTTTGTGCATGAACGAGATCTAATAGTTACGTTGCAATGAGAAATTTTCAGTGCATATCAATTCCAGAAGACTGTGTGCAGGAGTATATATAGTGCAAGAGTCTTATGGACTACTTTTATGGTGCTTTATTGACATTTTTGGAGAAGTTGGAGATCTGCATTCACCGTATACACCAGCTTGAATTAATCGAATGGAGCCCTGCAACATTCTCCAAAACACCTCCTTGCGTATTCCATGGAAGAAAGCAAGCATTCCGTTAAAAGAACTATTCCTTTAAAGTTGAAAAAAGCAGTTTAATTTAGGAATACAGCTTCATAAATCCACACTTGATATTCTAAACATGACTGCGTCTGTGGCTCATAGTTTATTTTGATGATACTCTCGACAGGGTGCTGAGAAAGGTTTAAAGGGGTCATATGACGTGATTTCAAGTTTTCCTTTCTCTTTGGAGTGTTACAAGCTGTTCGTGAATAGATAAGTTTTAAAGTTGCAAAGACTAAAGTCTCAAACCCAAAGAGATATTCTTTATAAAACTTTACACTGGTCCACGCCTTCCTAAAACGCCTCGTTCAAACACGCCCCCACATGTCTACATCACGATGTGGGAAGATTTGCATAACACCGCCCAAATGTTCACGCAAAGAAAGAACGTGTAACTTTATTGTTTCTGCCACTGCCGCCGCCATGTTGTGAAGATAAAATCGACGCATTTCAGAATATATAGAGGAGAAACAATAATGTACAGTATGTGGAAAATAATGTGCTTTTTGAACCTTAAACCGCTTAAACACATTTCATTACACCAAATACACAAAATAATGTTCTTTTTAGCAACATCATATGACCCCTTTAAGGTTTTGGGCACATACTACAAAGACTCCAGGCACTCGAAATATTCATCAAGTAGGTCTGAATCAATTAGGTCTAATACAGCAAAAGCTGTTAATGAACTGAATAGCATATGCCATCATCATCTGATGCTTAAAATAAGCCTGGCTAGACCTGGATTCGAGAAACGCAACGAGCTTGTCTACAAAACCAACGTCCATAACGGAACTAGTTCCGCAGAACTATGAAATATTTACCGTCCAGCCGTAGTGACCCAGTGGCTTGAGAGAAAACATTTATGGCTTAGTTTTATCAAAAATTAAACATGTCTCAGAGAAAAGGTACACAAAGAACCTGAACAAATACACTCCATTCCAATGAAGCAGCTACAGCCACGAGCGAACCGTAAGGCCCAAAACCACCCGTCAAAGTCAAACATGCCGATTGTCCTTTTAATCTGTCCTCTCGATCTAAATATTTGTTTTAATTAAAACGTATTAAATTCTCCTGAAATACCCCGGCAGTCCAGTATGTTTAACTGAGTCACGCTGTACATATCAACGACTCGTCCCCCGCCCACTCCTGTTCCCTTCTCTCGCCCGAGTCCTAACGAGCAGTCGAGCGAACCCGCCGCAGACGTAACCTTTATTCCTGCTATAGAGCCCTTAATTATCACCGCTCCGCAACCGGGGCGCTGCCAGACATGCACGGGCTCATTATGAACAGGGGCATATTATTTCACCTTGAAAAAAGCTATTAAAGCAAACTCGCTACCACTAGGAACGGTCGTGGTAAAATATTAAATCCAGGACATTCTGTTGAAGATCATTCGGAGTAATGGAAGCGAATTAGTTTTCTATTCGAATTCAAAGAGTCAACACCCTCAGGTATATGGTCATTTTATTTGACCGAGGATGTTTGCAGAGGTCATATGCCATTCGGTTGAGGGCGCAGACAGAATGCGTGTTAGCTGCATTTCACAATCTGTAGCATTTGCTGCGTCGTGCCCCTTTGCAGCCACAACACAGGGTCTGAAATAGACCGCCTGACAGAGCCCAGCCTCCCATAAACAATATCCACTCAACCGCTGTGGACACGCTGAGCACCGCTGTCAGCAGCTAACAGACGTTCTCTACATATTTGTGTGTTTGCTGGAAAAATACTAGTGCTATCTTACTGAATGCTGCCTTGTGGCTTGAAAATTGCATATTATTGTGCAGCTAAGCTTTGAAAACACTGTACAATAATGACATGGCATAAACCAAGCTTTTTAGCAGTACCACATTAATGCAGATGTTTGATGGTCGACTGGCAGATTATTGAGGTTAACTAATGTGTTTATCTAGATCTATTCCCTTTGTTTAGCTTTATATAGCTAACAATGCAGCTTTTAAAGAGATGTACTTAAAGTCGGCATGAAATCAAAATTGAAAATTCTTATTTTTTAATGGAATACTGTAGTGTTTATTATAAATAATTTATCTGTGCACTTCATTATTTTTAAAAAATTCATGTGCCCTTGTAATCTTTAATCAAAAACGTTAACCTCCCCTCCCCCTCAAAACGACTCATCTTCTCTTCCGGTCATGAGCTATGGCGCAAGGGAGGAGCTAATGACGTGAGCGGTAAATGCTGGGATAAACAACATGGGGAAAAGCTGAAGCTGAAGCTTCACTTTATAGAAATCAATGCATTGACCAGTGCTGACGCAAGACATGGGGGAGTACACTACCCTTAAAAATTGAAAGGATATTACCACAAAATTACTCTTAGGACATCGCAAACTATTTTTTATGAATATGACTTAACCTGATGGAGGACGCGCTCAGTCATTCAGGCAGTCTCTCTCTCTCTCTCTCTTTCTCTCTCTCGCACGCGTGCTGTTAGGCATGTTTTGTGCCGTTGATCGTCCTCGTCGTCGTCTTCCTCGCACGCGTGCTGTTAGGCATGTTTTGTGCCGTTGATCGTCCTCGTCGTCGTCTTCCTCAATAAATAAAAAAGTTCTTCATGCTAGGGTGTCGGCGGTGAATCCAGTGGAGAGAAATCCCCCCACAACTAACTGCAAACTGGCATTCAGATCTGCCTCCATTTTGTTAGCAACGCCCCAACTTCCAATGATCCAATCAATTCCCGAAGGACGAAATCAAGTCCCGCCCTTTCATTTCAGATGCCGTTTCACTCGGACAGACGTCACAGTAAAGAAAAAAATACAATCGCTACTTCCGTTTCATGCAAGCGGCAACCTTCCGGTCTCTCTCGTGAAACCAACACGGAAGTGACTAAAACTGCAATTCATCAACTGGCCGCTAGAGGCTGGCTCCAAAAGGGAGTCAGTCCCATAGACCTCCCATGTTAAAATGCCCAACTTTACAGCAGAAAAAAATATGTTTACAGCCTGGTACAAAAAGTGGTTTTGGTCTATATAGCTAATTTTGCCCTTCATGACAACTGTGAGGGGGGTGAATATTTTTATAACTCATCCGTTTAAATTATATTAAGCCTTAAAGTTCTGCATAATTAAGGGCGTGGCCACTTGAGTGACAGGTGGATTGCCGCTGCTGTCACCACCGTCGAGCTAGGTGGGCATGGTTTCAGCAACCAGCTCCC